CAGGTGTTCTTAATGTTTTGTTCACTCAGTGTCTTTGGGCTTGAAGTGACAAATCCGAACTGCCCACTTTGTGCAAATCTGTGTGAATGCGGTTTATTTTTCTACGATATGACATACAGTCGTGGTCAAATGTTTTGAGAATGAGACAAGTATTGGTCTTCACAAAGTTCGCTGCTTCAGTGTTATGAGATATTTTTGTCAGATGTTACTATGGTATACTGAAGTATAATTACAAGTATTCCATAAGTGTCAAAGGCTTTTATTGACAATTACATAAAGTTTATGCAAAGAGTCAATATTTGCAGTGTTGACCCTTCTTTTTCAAGACCTCTGCAATCCGCCCTGGCATGCTGTCAATTAACTTCTGGGCCACATCCTGACTGATGGCAGCCCATTCTTGCATAATCAATGCTTGGAGTTTGTCAGAATTTGTGGGTTTTTGTTTGTCCACCCGCCTCTTGATTAAGGTCTGGGGAGTTTCCTGGCCATGGACCCAAAATGTCAATGTTTTGTTCCCCGAGCCACTTAGTTATCACTTTTGCCTTATGGCAAGGTGCTCCATCATGCTGGAAAAGGCATTGGTCGTCACCAAACTGTTATTGGATGGTTGGGAGAAGTTGCTCTCGGAGGATGTGTTGGTACGATTCTTTATTCATGGCTGTGTTCTTAGGCAAAATTGTGAGTGAGCCCACTCCCTTGGCTGAGAAGCAACCCCACACAAGAATGGTCTCAGGATGCTTTACTGTTGGCATGACACAGGACTAATGGTAGCGCTTATCTTGTCTTCTCCGGACAACGTGTTTTCCGGATGCCCCAAACAATCGGAAAGGGGATTCATCAGAGAAAATGACTTTCCCCAGTCCTCAGCAGTCCAATCCTTGTACCTTTTGCAGAATATCAGTCTGTCCCTGATGTTTTTCCTGGAGAGAAGTGGCTTCTTTGCTGCCCTTCTTGACACCAGGCCATCCTCCAAAAGTCTTCGCCTCACTGTGCGTGCAGTTGCACTCACACCTGCCTGCTGCCATTCCTGAGCAAGCTCTGCAGTATATATACACCTGTTCTGAAAGGCCCCAGAGTCTGCAACACCACTAAGCAAGGGGCACCACCAAACAAGTGGCACCATGAAGACCAAGGAGCTCTCCAAACAGGTCAGGGACAAAGTTGTGGAGAAGTACAGATCAGGGTTGGGAAAAAACAATATCCGAAACTTTGAACATCTCACGGAGCACCATTAAATCCATTATTAAAAAATGGAAAAAATATGGCACCAAAACAAACAAACCTGCCAAGAGAGGGCCGCCCACCAAAACTCACGGACCAGGCAAGGAGGGCATTAATCAGAGAGGCAACAAAGAGACCAAAGATAACCCTGAAGGAGCTGCAAAGCTCCACAGCGGAGATTGAAGTATCTGTCCATAGGACCACTTTAAGCCGTACACTCTACAGAGCTGGGCTTTACGGAAGAGTGGCCAGAAAAAAGCCATTGCTTAAAGAAAAAAATAAGCAAACACATTTGGTGTTCGCCAAAAGGCATGTGGGAGACTCCCCAAACATATGGATGAAGGTACTCTGGTGCAAACCCAACACCTCTCATCACCCCGAGAACACCATCCCCACAGTGAAGCATGGTGGTGGCAGCAGCATGCTGTGGGGATGTTTTTCATCGGCCGGGACTGGGGAACTGGTCAAAATTGAAGGAATGATGGATGGCGCTAAATACAGGGAAATTCTTGAGGGAAACCTGTTTCAGTCTTCCAGAGATTTGAGACTGGGACGGAGGTTCACCTTCCAGCAGGACAATGACCCTAAGCATACTGCTAAAGCAACACTCGAGTGGTTTAAGGGGAAACATTTAAATGTCTTGGAATGGCCTAGTCAAAGCCCAGACATCAATCCAATTGAGAATATGTGGTATGACTTAAAGATTGCTGTACACCAGTGGAACCCATCCAACTTGAAAGGGGCTGGAGCAGTTTTGCCTTGAAGAATGGGCAAAAATCCCAGTGGCTAGATGTGCCAAGCTTATAGAGACATACCCCAAGAGACTTGCAGCTGTAATTGCTGCAAAAGGTGGCTCTACAAAGTATTGACTTTGGGGGGGTGAATAGTTATGCACGCTCAAGTTTTCTGTTTTTTTTGTCTTATTTCTTGTTTGTTTCACAAGAAAAAATATTTTGCATTTTCAAAGTGGTAGGCATGTTGTGTAAATCAAATGATACAAACCCCCCAAAAATCATTTAATTCCAGGTTGTAAGGCAACATAATAGGAAAAATGCCAAGGGGGGTGAATACTTTTAAGGTGTGCTAGTTTACTGTCTATGAGTCTTATTGAACATGTCATGACTAGACCGTATCAAATTAAAATGAGCAAAGCTGGTTTAGCTCATCAAACCAGTGTTAACAGTTGCATAACCTCAACTAATGATTTCTCAAAATAGCCTTCAGTACGCTGTGTCCCAAATGGCACCCTATTCCCTATATAGTGTTCTGATCAAAAGTAGTGCACTATATAGGGAATAGGGTGCCATTTGGGACCTTAGGACTGCACTGCTGAGTGGGAGAGAACATAAATATGACCTAGTGGGTCATATTCACAGTGACCGCACACTGAAACACACACACACACACACACACACACATACACACACAGACACGCATGCACACACGCACACACACACACACACACACACACAGTGACACACAAACACACACACTGACACTTGTCTGTCATTGAGGCCATTAACGCGGTGGCGAGTAGGGAAGAAGATCTCTCTTTACTTAGACCTCACACACTGACACACACACACACACACACTGGCACGCACACTGGGCATGCCTGGGGAAGCAGGTTACTGGGCCACTCAGAAACACTGAACAGCTTTGTGTCAGGGAGTTTCCTAACCACAGATCCAGGGTCAGATATTTGTTGATCGGCCTAATGGTTATGGTTAGGAATAGGAGTTGGATAATCTGGTAGAGGCAAGCCTATCTCAGCAATAACCCATCCAGAACCAACCAGCTGGACACTCTAGTCTGATGGTATGGCTAGACTTTGACTGGTCACATGGTTCATTTTCTCTGTTACAGCATCTCACCACTATAAAACATCAATCATGTCCTTTACAGCCGAGGTGAGGCTCACGATGTACACAGTTTACAATGCCAAAGTTTCAAGCCCTTGGACACCTGCTATGAGTCGGCTATACATCTTGAAAGAAAGCTTGCCTGCAAATAAACACCTGTTTTACTCACACACAAACGCACACACACACACACACACAAATGCACACAAAGACAAAACACAAAAACACACAGCAGATAATCAAGGATAGGAGCACAAGAGTGGCATGTCAGCCACACCCAAGAGACCTGCTGGAGACACATGTACATTCACACAGTGTGCATGGTGTGTTGTGTGTGAACTGTGTGTGTGGTGTGTATGGTCTGTGTGTGCAATGACAACAAGGTCGTCATAGGGGAATTTAGAGGACTTTCGTCACCCTGAAGTTAGAAAAATGAACTCTCTCCACCATGTGTTACATATATATGTAGGCTAATGGTATAGCCTACTCCACCACTAGCAAACACAAGAGGTGCAAGTGAACGTGCTAAATTTAGAGTCAGGTGTGAGTGAGAGAGAGAGAACGAGGGAGAGAGAAAGAGAGAAAGGGGGAGTGAGAGAGAGAGAAAGGGGGAGAGAGAAACAGAGAAAGGGGAAGAGAGAGAGAGAGAGAGAGAGAGAGAGAGAGAGAGAGAGAGAGAGAAAGGGAAAGGGAAAGGGAAAGGGGGCGAGAGAGAAAGGAGGAGAGAGAGTTTGTGTAGTACTCCACTATGTTTGTTTGGTGTTTTCTTCGATGAGTACCCCTATTTGAGGGGATATGGGGGCGTACTGTATGAAGCAGAGGGGGGTTGAGGAAAAGCTGATTACTTGAATATGGGGGAGGAGGGGGATATTGGGAGGAGGGGGAGGGTATATAGTACAAGCCGAACTGATGGAAGAAAAGCCTTGTGGTGAGAAGAGGAGGGGCTAGCGCGGTAAGGGGGCGGTCCTACTGTACTCAAATTAAGGGGATATGTATATTTACCCAATATCTTGCTCATTGCTGAGTCAAACCAAGCTGCGAGGATACAGCTCATGTTTGAAGACCAGAAAGGACATTTTTATTGAGGTTCGATTTTGGGGTGGGAGACACAGTTGTGTGTTTTTCAACCAGTTTTAAAGGGATGCTCTAAGGCGGGTCTCTCGAGCGCTCACCTGGAAGCAGTGAAAGTCTTCTTAGTTTTGTTTCAAAACGACAAAAAAAATTGTGACACGAGGTTTCTTTCGCAGTATGTCACTGGAATACGCCATTCTTGTTCACTAAATGGACTATTGAATACATGTTACTTGTTTGGTTAGATATTTTCAACAATACGTTTTTTTTTATGATATCTCTAACAGTGAAAATAGATTACCAGTGAAATATCACAACTTTGTTACTCAAATTAGACAGTCGCGTTAACGGTCAATACGAGATAGAAAGCTGTTATCTCATGTTTTTGTTGTCGTTTCCCGCAGTGCAAACTAGGCATTTTTTGTATTTTATTAAATTGATTAGGTAGGCTACATTGTTGCAATTTCCTTAGCGCTCAGGTAGTGCACGAGTGCAACATTATAACAACAAATACATTGGTATCCTGGACAACAGCAACATGAGGATACAGGGTTAAAAACAAAGTTTACATAAAGTGTAAGTGCACTGACTTATTGTATATATAAATTAACCATTTGTGGCAGTACGTTGCCCATAACATCTGAAGGCTCAATTCGATTCGTGAGGTATTGAATAGGCTACACCAGAATACTGCAACAAGTGTTGTGAAGTGTGCTGTGTGTTCTTACCGAAGCGCACATTGAGTTGCTACGTCCAAGTGCTCTTTAGCTGTCAATTGAGAGCGACCACAGGCATAGCTGCAGCAGCAAGTGTCAGAGCGAGGACTGAACAACTCTTATCACCAAAATGACGAACGGACCAAGGCAACGGGGCAGCGCAGCCGCGTCTAGCGGGGATGCTGTCGCCGAGTCCGGGAAGGAGTCAGGAGGAGGGGTGGCTCTGAAGAAAGAGATCGGCCTTGTGAGCGCCTGCGGAATTATTGTTGGTAAGTGTCAAAAATCAAACATTGGAATGGATAATGTCTCTAATAATGTTCATGCATATTTGCAAAGGCTGGTTTGCGAAAAAAGTATTAATAGGCGTAGTTGATTTTGAATAATAGCCTACTGTGACCCACCTGAGCTTTAGGTACACTGATTGACTCAGAGAAAGTGTGAGTGTGCGCGCGCGTCCGTGCATAACTAGTTGGACAGCCAGTGCTATGAAAGTGAATTGGACTGACCACTGCTCAGAGTTGCTGAGAGCTGCTTTGAAGAATGGCATGACTCAGAGCCATTATTCATAAGATTTGGTTTGGGTAGCGTAAGGTCACTCTCCCACATACTCAAAATGGCACTTTATTAGTGGATAATTTTCAGCATCTTCTAATGTAGGCTAATTATCGTTGATGGCTATTGCATCACTTCAGCAGTTACCAGTCGTTCAATTAAATGCAATGCTGTGTAGATCGATACACAGACAGAGGATGTGTTGTTGTGAGGTCCCGGTGAATCAGTGGTGTGGTCTCTGTTCTCTGGTCTCTCAACCTTGAGGGAGATGACTCACTCGCTGACAGGTTTCCATGGTAACTGAACGGTCTGGATAGTCGGAGGGGCCTTTCTGGTTAGATACAGATTGGGGGGTAGAGAGAGATGGAGGTAGAGAGAGAAACAAAAGAGGGGGAGAGGGAGAGAGAGAGAGTTACAGCTAACAGCAAATGAAGCAGATATTAAAGGGTAGGCCCTTGGTTGGCCCTCTCCTTTGAGCTCTATTGAGTGAGCCTGTATGAAGAGAGCCTCTATGTCCTGACTTCTGCCCCATAGACTCTCCTCCATTCAAATATCATTAATTAATCTCCAACATAAGTACTAGACTCGCCATCATTAAAACAGAAGGGTTAAAAAACTAAAATGGCACCCTATTCCCTTTAAAGTGCATTACTTTTGACCAGAGCCGTATGGGCCCTATGGGCCCTGGTCCAAAGTGGTGCGCTATATAGGGAATAGGGTGTCACTTGGGTCGCAGCCCTTGCTGTTTTTAATTGTAAAAGAGTGAAGAGACTAGAGTAGTGAATTGCACCCGCCCGGTCCATAGGTTCTTCATCTTCCAAATATCATTAACAGTTTAACCCACATCATTTAACTCCAATCATTAAGGTTTAAAAGAGCATGCCAACGATTACCGTAGTAGGCTACATGTCATGATGACACTCTATGTTTATCACCATCCATAGTCCACAGTCATTCAGACATAGTGGTGGTCGATCAGCAGAGACAACCTAGCCTACTGTAAGGTCATTCATTCACGAACACATCTGGGCCGTATTCATTAATACACACCGAAGCAAAATGGTTAGCAACAGAAAACGAAAACGAACATTTCTTATTGGACAAGTTCAGGTACTGTCCCTCCCTGTTTGAATCTGTTTTCTTCTGTTCGGTGCCAAATGAACACAACCCTGATCTCTCCTCTTATCTCACGTGAGAGGCCTTATCGTCAGATGACTGAACTCAAACTGCCAAGTTCCAACTCTTCCCTCAGCCTTTGTTCTCTGTCCGTTTCACTGAGTTTCCTCAAAGGGGGCTGAGGGAGGGAGTTTTTTATGAGCTAAAGGTACAGTCTGTCAGATCTATTGTCCTCTGAGTCCACCTCCACCCCCTTCTGGGTGAGGGGGGTGAGGGGGGTGAGGAGGGTGAGAGGGGTGAGGAGGGTTAGGGGAGTGAGGACAGAGGGGGGGGGGGGGTCTGAGGACTGAGCGGGGTGAGGTTTTGGAGGAGGGGTAGGAGGGTGAGGAGGAGGGGGAGGTGGCCTAATCAGAGTCAGCAGGCAGGAGTTACAGTCAGGTGGATGATGGGGATGGCAGCAGCTCACTGCATTCTTCACCTCTCCCCCCTCCTTCTTTCCTCCTTTCATTATTTCTTCATTCGTCACCTCCATACTCTTTTACTTGGGGCCCATTAAACTCAAAGCTGGGCACTGCTGGAATGAGAAGTGCTGATGGCAGCGCCCTCGGAGGTGTGTGTGTGTGTGTATGTGTGCGTCTTAGCGTCTGTGTGTGTATGCGTCTTAGTGTCTGTGTGTGTGTATGTGCACCTGTGTGAGTGTGTGTGCATGTGCGCGCGTGTGTGTCCTTGGAGAGCTTCTGGCCAGTGTCCAAGCAGCAGGTTGCCTCAGCTGGGGAGTTTGTAGAGGGCTTTGGACAGGGAGGAAGTACAAATGTGCTAATCTCCCTGGTCTTTGTAATACTACAGAACCTGCTCTCAGCTGTAGTAGTATGCTCTGGGGTGAAGTCCCCTTGGTACAGATCTAGGATCAGCTTCCCCTCCCCCAATCCTAACCTTAACCATTAGTGGGGGGAATGCAAAACTAAGCCAAGATCAGCTTTTAGGGGCAACTTCACCCTACAACTGTAGCACTACACAGCTGCAGACACTCTATCTAGCATGACATGTGCAAAACCCTCTCAAAGCCTGAGCAGGCACATAGTTTGACCCAGTCTAAGTTTTAGGACTTGGAGAGGCTTTTGCACATTACATCTGTGCTCAGCGTTCACCTGTCTGTGTTGTTCTGGGATGCTTGTTGGTTCATCATAGCTTGTTGCTCGGGAGCTCTGGTTAAGGGCTCTGCCTCTGGTAAGGGGGCAGTAGACTAGCACACACTACACAGCACATTGTTCATGAAAGGGGATCATAAGGCTGAAGTAAGCTATGCTTGCGTCCCAAATGGCACCTTATTCCCTTAAAAGTAGTGCACTGTGTAGGGAATAGGGTGCCATTTGGGACGTGGCCTTTGTCTGAGTAAGTAAGTCTAGCGCATGACATGAACATGTCTGAGCTCTAGGCCTACCAGCTTTGTTTGAGGCCAGTGATATTTTTGTATACATTCTCCTGGAGATTACACATGCTGGGTTTGGTTCGTACATGCTCTAGTGCTTCCAGAGACCTTTAGGTTTCATTCCCGATTCTCCACCATGCTCTCAAAGTGTTCGGTTGCAAACTCTCCTTCATGGAGTTAACTATGGTGGAAACTACCTCCAGCCAATGACTACACCAGTCCTACCAGTCCCCTCTCATTGTCTCACCATCCAAGGGTCACACACAAAGTTGCTGAACTGAAGCATTGTAAAGCTGACACTGACTGCACAGTTTCAAAGATGTAGTAAACTAACTGGAAGCAGTCACTTCCTTTAGTCAAGGTTGAGATTAATCATCCTTTACCCTTCAGGCACTAAGTCAACGTTACATAAGTGCACCAGCGAGTACAGTTCCTGATGCATATGGAGCATTTTAAGGCTTGTGGTTTCAGACTGTTCTTCTACATCATAGCAACCATTGGGGCAATACAGGACAGGTGTTTAGGTGTGTGTGTGTGTGTGTAGGTTAGTGCTTCCAGACACTTTCTGCACATGTTCACTCACTCACGGACTCACTCACTCACTCTCTCACACACACACACTCACACACACACACTCTCACACTCTCACACACTCACACACACACACACACACTCACACACACACACACACACACACACACACACACACACACACACACACACACACACACACACACACACACACACACACACACACACACACACACACACACACACACACACACACACACACACAAAAAGTCTGTATCAATACCTTTGGCTTTTGTACTGTGTATTCTCCTCACTCAACTCTGACTCTGTAAGTTCAAATGTACGACCTTTAGCCCTGACGCCCTATTCTCCGTCGAGGTTTATGAGCCAATTAGTCAGCTGAATCTGATTCTCAACCCTCGACCTCTGACCCCTACTGCTTTGTCAGATCACTAATGGGGTGCGAGTCGTTAATCTGTCATCTGAACCAAGTCTAACCTAACACACACATACACACACACACAGTCTCTGTCATGTTTACTTGTCTGATGCTTATAGAGGCGGTCAGGGAATTGTTCTGATGGAGTGTAGGGGCCTCCTTACTACACACACACACACACACACACACAGGCCTCGTCGTTCCTCGTTGTACTCTGTCACCTCTCCCCCCTTTCTCTCTCTCTCTCTCTCTCTCTCTCTCTCTCTCTCTCTCTCTCTCTCTCTCTCTCTCTCTCTCTCTCTCTCTCTCTCTCTCTCTCTGTGTCTCCTCATCCTCAGTGCTAACTCAGCACATTGCGTTTCCAGTCTGTCTGCTGGCTGGCTGCTCATTGCTGTTAAAGCTACATTCTCTCCTCTCTCTTTGTCTCTCTCTCTCTTTCTTCTTCTACTTTATCTCTCTATCTGTCTCCTTTGTCCTCTCACATTTTCCCTCTGTCATCCATTTTTCACTACACCACTCTTTAAATCCCAATGTTGTGTTTTTCTCCCTCTTCTTCTCTCTTGAGGAAATCAGCTAAAAGGCTGAGTAATCAAATGCGTCCTCCTATGGGTATGGTAACACAGTATTGTCTCTCAGTGGTATAGAGTACACTCATGATTGGAATAGGGATTCTGAACTGTGCTTTTGTTACACATATTGTTAAGAATCCGTCTTTAAACTGTCTCCATTGGTTCCACTCTGTTCCCCCCAATTAATCTCCTGATTGCACCCAGTGACGAATGCTGGTGTCACATCGATAACATTCCCCTCTCCCCTCGTCATTAGATGGTGGAACTGATGTTCTCACCCTAATTTCTCCGACCCCCTTCAAATCTTCCTGCCTGTGAATGGCACTGTTGTCACGCTAATAACCGCCCCCCTTTCTCCTCAGTGCTTCAAATAACTGTTGGTGACACTTCAATAACCATCCCCTCTTCTTCTCTCTATTCCAGGTAACATCATCGGGTCGGGGATCTTCGTCAGCCCTAAGGGTGTGATGGAGAACGCCAGCTCCGTGGGTCTGGCGCTGATCGTGTGGATCGTCACTGGTATCATCACAGCCATCGGAGCGCTGTGCTACGCCGAGCTGGGTGTCACCATCCCCAAGTCAGGGGGAGACTACGCATACGTCAAGGACATCTTCGGAGGACTGGCAGGGTGAGTGGCTGGATCTGTGGTGCTTGGTGACCTTTGACCCACAACTGTATTTACTGATCTAACTCACTCACTCATTCACTCGCTCACTCACTCCTATCCTCTCTGGTATCTTCTCCCCAGGCCATATCACCAATCCTTTGTCCACATTGATTAAACACAGTCTGTGTGTTTGTAGTGTTCCCCCAGACGGTAAACACACACAGATTGAGCCCTGACCTTGTGTTGTAACAGTCTGGATCCATTTTGTATCAGAGTATTTTCAGAGAGGAATCCACCCAGCCAACAACACCTCAGACTATTGTTAGTGTCCCGTCAGTAGATCAATGAGAAGTTTACAATGAAACAAACTTTTACCCAGAACCAACTCATATTTTCTGTTTGAAGGCTTTGTTTAGTATGTTAGAATGGGTCTCTAACTGTTTCCTCCAGATGCCTCAGATGTTTAGGTTTGAAGTTTTTCGGGGCACATACTGTTTTCGCTGTTTCCTTCTCTCTGTGATACGAAACTACGATCAAGGAGTATTTGTTTTGATGGTGTACTGTTTAGGAGTAGGAGGAGGGTACAGCAGAAACAAAGTTGTTGATAAGGACACCCCTGCGTTGCTGGGGGGATGGGGGGAGTGGACTCTTCCGCAGAGACTCTCCACAGGTCTCCATAGGTGTTTGTGGATGTGCCCACCCCAGTGGTGCGGGGGTGTCAGGCCAAGCATTCCAGTGGCTAGCCATGGTGGTGACACACAGTCCTGATGAGACACTATCACACAGTGTTAGCAAATCAGTTCCTTTACTGAGGGCTCTGCTTTGGGGTTTTACTTGAATCTTACAGACGTATTGTAACATTTGTGAACATTTGTTAAAACACACATAGACACACACTGGCTGAACACCGGCTCACACAAACACGCATGCACACTAACACGCATGCACACAAACACGCATGCACACTAACACGCATGCACACTAACACGCATGCACACTAACACGCATGCACACAAACACGCATGCACACAAACACGCATGCACACAAACACGCATGCACACAAACACGCATGCACACTAACACGCATGCACACAAACACGCATGCACACAAACACGCATGCACACAAACACGCATGCACACAAACACGCATGCACACTAACACGCATGCACACAAACACGCATGCACACAAACACGCATGCACACAAACACGCATGCACACAAACACGCATGCACACATTCTTTGTGAGTAACAGCCAAGGGGAACGTAGCGAAGCGTAATGACCCCCCCCCCCCCCCCCCCCCCTCCTTAACACACACAAACACACACACACAAACACACCATCCACTCTCTGAGTGAGTGAGTGAGTGAGTGAGTGAGTGAGTGAGTGAGTGAGTGAGTGAGTGAGTGAGTGAGTGAGTGAGTGAGTGAGTGAGTGAGTGAGTGAGTGAGTGAGTGAGTGTTTGAGTGCGTGAGAGAGTGAATGAGTGAGTGAGTGATCACTATCCCTCTAACAGTAGGCTCTGCCCCCTTCATGATACAATACATTGTTATAACACACAATCTGTGTGTGTGTGTGTGTGCGTGCGCATGTGTGTGCGTCAGTGTCTACTGTTCATATCCCTAATTTACCCCTCCCTCTCCTCTCCCTCTGTCTCTCTTCCTCCCTCCCGCCTCCTCTAGGTTCCTGCGTCTATGGATCGCAGTGCTGGTGATATACCCCACCAACCAGGCGGTGATCGCACTCACCTTCTCCAACTACGTCCTACAGCCCCTCTTCCCAACCTGCTTCCCCCCAGAGAATGGTCTGCGCCTGCTGGCCGGCGTCTGCCTACGTGAGTACCCTATACCCTGGAGGGAGAGGTGGAGGAGGGGGGTGGAAGGATGTTGAGAGAGAGAGAGAGAGAGAGAGAGAGAGAGAGAGAGAGAGAGAGAGAGAGAGAGAGAGAGAGAGATTTTAGGAAACTTATAAGATTCTGTTGTATTGGTGTGTGAAGTAGTGTTGTAGTAGCGCCTCTTGGTGCTGGAAGAGTGGAACGGGTGGGAATAGGACATGCAAAAGAGAGAGGAGTGAAACATCAACAGATTGTTCCTTCACAGATCTGAGAACTGGATAGGTCTCTCTCTTCATCTCTCTCCTCTCTCTCCTCTCTCTGTCTCTCTCTCTCTCTTCTCTCTCTGTCTCGCTCTCTGTCTATCTATCTCTCTCTCTTCATCTCTCTCTTGCTCTCTCTCTTCATCTCTCTCTCTCTCTCACTTCATCTCTCTCTCTCTTCATCTCTCTATCTTTCTCTTCCTCTCTCTCTCTCTTCCCCTCTCTCTCTTCATCTCTATATCTCTCTCTTCCTCTCTCTCACTCACATCTTCCTCCTGCCCTACTTTCTCTTCTGTTCTTTCTGTAACATCCACTTGTGACTTGACCCACCGTCAAAGAACATGTAAGAAAGAGAGTGAGTAAAAAGAGGTAGCAGAGTAGGTGAGAGTGTTAAAACAAATGGATAAATGTGTTTGCACCACTCTGAGAGTGGTAGTGACGGACTTCTCTACAAACCTCCCACACGCAGCCCAAATACCACAAGGTGGGCTCAGACAGGCAGAGAGAGACAGAGAGAGACAGAGAGAGACAGAGAGAGACAGAGAGAGACAGAGAGAGAGAGACAGAGAGAGAGAGACAGAGAGAGAGACAGAGAGAGACAGAGAGAGAGAGAGAGAGAGAGAGAGAGTCATAGAAAGAGAGAGCGAGAGAGAGAGAGACAGAGAGAGTGACGGAACAGAGATAGTGTGACAGTGTGAAGCTAGTTTGTGAAAGCAACAACATCCTCCCAGATCGCTTTAATATGTTTTCTTCTGTCTGTGAGTTCTTTCCCAAAAACCCATAAGAACTGTTCAATAATATATGTTTTGAATGAGTTGATCTTACCAATAGGGTTTTTGTAACTGGATCAATTGTTACTTGTAAGACTGACTAATAATTGCTGTGGGAAACTGTTCTTTAGTGTCACCATTCAAGCCTAGTATCCACTTTAGCTGGAATGCACCTGTGGCTATTCTGTTGCCCTGTTGTTGTTCAGTTCAACCATAGAGCAGTATACTATGATAGCTTGGCTGTGCAGACAGACAGACTCCCTGTGGGCATCTTTGTGCCATCCCAATCATGAACCCAGTAATCAGAGAAGATCTGGGGGCGTTGTATTCACAAAGAGTCTCAGAGTATAGAAGTGCTGATCCATAAAATGATGATAATCTAACAATCTAGGCTATTCTAGATCAGCACTCGTATATGTACATAATGTACAGTGGGGAGAACAAGGATTTGATACACTGCCGATTTTGCAGGTTTTCCTACTTGTAGAGGTGTGTAGAGCATGTAGAGGTCTGTAATTGTTATCATAGGTACACTTCAACTGTGAGAGACGGAATCTAAAATCCAGAATATCACATTGTATGATTTTTAAGGAATTCATTTGCATTTTATTGCATGACATAAGTATTTGATCACCTACCAACCAGTAAGAATTCCGGCTCTCACAGACCTGTTAGTTTTTTTTTAAGAAGCCCTCCTGTTCTCCACTCATTACCTGTATTAACTGCACCTGTTTGAACTCGTTACCTGTATAAAAGACACCTGTCCACACACTCAATCAAACAGACTTCAACCTCTCCACAATGGCCAAGACCAGAGAGCTGTGTAAGGACATCTGGGATAAAATTGTAGACCTGCACAAGGCTGGGATGGGCTACAGGACAATAGGCAAGCAACTTGGTGAGAAGGCAACAACTGTTGGCGCAATTATTAGAAAATGGAAGAAGTTCAAGATGACGGTCAATCACCCTCGGTCTGGGGCTCCATGCAAGATCTCACCTTGTGGGGCATCAATGATCATGAGGAAGGTGAGGGATCAGCCCAGAACTACACGGCAGGACCTGGTCAATGACCTGAAGAGAGCTGGGACCACAGTCTCAAAGAAAACCATTAGTAACACACTACGCCGTCATGGATTAAAATCCTGCAGCGCAGGCAAGGTCCCCCTGCTCAAGCCAGCGCATGTCCAGGCCCGTCTGAAGTTTGCCAATGACCATATGGATGATCCAGAGGAGGAATGGGAGAAGGTCATGTGGTCTGATGAGACAAAAATATAGCTTTTTGGTCAAAACTCCACTCGCCGTGTTTGGAGGAAGAAGAAGGATGAGTACAACCCCAAGAACACCATCCCAACCGTGAAGCATGGAGGTGGAAACATCATTCTTTGGGGATGCTTTTCTGCAAAGGGGACAGGACGACTGCACTGTATTGAGGGGAGGATGGATGGGGCCATGTATCGCGAGATCTTGGCCAACAACCTCCTTCCCTCAGTAAGAGCATTGAAGATGAGTCGTGGCTGGGTCTTCCAGCATGACAACGACCCGAAACACACAGCCAGGGCAACTAAGGAGCGGCTCCGTAAGACGCATCTCAAGGTCCTGGAGTGGCCTAGCCAGTCTCCAGACCTGAACCCAATAGAAAATCTTTGGAGGGAGCTGAAAGTCCGTATTGCCCAGCGACAGCCCCGAAACCTGAAGGATCTGGAGAAGGTCTGTATGGAGGATTGGGCCAAAATCCCTGCTGCAGTGTGTGCAAACCTGATCAAGACCTACAGGAAATGTATGATCTCTGTAATTGCAAACAAAGGTTTTTGTACCAAATATTAAGTTCTGCTTTTCTGATGTATCAAATACTTATGTCATGCAATAAAATGCAAATTAATTACTTAAAAATCTTATAATGTGATTTTCTTGATTTTTGTTTTAGATTCCGTCTCTCACAGTTGAAGTGTATTTATGATAAAAATTACAGACCTCTACATGCTTTGTAAGTAGTAAAACCTGCAAAATCGGCAGTGTATCAAATACTTGTTCTCCCCACTGTACTTTTTTACTTCCCTGAAGCCTTATGCAAGCCATAATACCTCTGGGAAAAGATATGTTGAGACTTGCCAAAAAGATTAATTTTCCTTGGCCGAGAGTGTTTCCTATACCGATGACGATGTGCAATAGTACTAGAACACTGCAATCTGATTGGCCGAGGTGACAGCCCTAATGTGTGTTTCCTCAAAGTTAATTGGTCAGATGTTTTCAAGCAGAATGTTGAGCTCAGTGTCATTGTTGTTGTTTTTTACCTACGTGTTCTGCTGTTGTTCCTCTTACAGCCGGCGGCGGAAAGAAGAAAACTGGGTGAAGGGTTACTTTAGGACAAGTTCCTTTCTCTCACTCTCCTTCTTTTCCATCCTCCTCTTCCTTCTCTCTCTTTTCCTCCTCTTTCTGCTGTTCCTCCTCTTCCTCCGCCTCTGTTGTTTTAGGTTTCTTTGTGCCCCTGCAGGTACAGTACAGTCTGTATGTCTGACTGTGGTTGACTGTGTCTTGGTGAGGGTGGGTTTCAGGGACAGTCTGTATGTCTGACTGTGGTTGACTGTGTCTTGGTGAGGGTGGGTTTCAGGGACAGTCTGTATGTCTGACTGTGGTTGACTGTGTCTTGGTGAGGGTGGGTTTCAGGGACGTTCTGGATGTTGTGTTATGCAAGGGATGTCATGTGTCTAGGAGAGTCGTGAGAGTCCAGACATTATTTTTCTCCGTTTTGTTAGGTATAGCGATGTAGCCCTTGAAAAATTATATAATACAGATGTAGGATCTTCATTTAAGACAGTTTACTACAGGAGGGAAATAATCCTGCAGCAACAGGAAATGTGAATTATTATGTGGATTATAATTAATGGACATTTTTGTAGGGGTTGATACATTTTTCGTTAGGGGAAAGTCTGAATTTTCAAAGTGGAAATTACAAATGTTAGAAGCCTTGTTAAAACTCAAACACACCTACACATTTGCATTTCCTGCTGTGCAGGAAAATCCTCATCAACAAAAGAGTGAACAAATTAAGATCCTACATTTGTATCTATAGCAGGCATAGATGGTGGTGTTTGTGTGTGCTGCACCTGTATATGGTGCTGTGTGACCACTTTTGCTGACTATACACAAAAGCGACAATAAAGTATATATATGTATGTACAGTACCAGTCAAACGTTTGGACACACCTACTCATTCAAGGGGTTTTCTTTATTTTTACTGTTTTCTACATTGTAGAATAATAGTGAAGACATCAAAACTATTAAATAACACATATGGAATTATGTAGTAATCAAAAAAGTGTTAAACAAATCAAAATATATTTTGCATTTATGACATCTTTGCACACTCTTGGCATTCTCTCAACCAGCTTCACCTGGAATGCTTTTCCAACAGTCTTGAAGGAGTTCCCACATATGCTGAGCACTTTTGGCTGTTTTTCCTTCACTCTGCCGTCCGACTCATGCCAAACCATCTCAATTGGTTTGAGGTTGGGGGATTGTGGAGGCCAGGTCATCTGATGCAGCGCTCCATCACTCTCCTTCTTGGTAAAATAGCTCTTACACAGCCTGGAGGTGTGTTGGGTCATTGTCCTGTTGAAAAACAAATGATAGTCCCACTAAGCCCAAACCAGATGGGATGGTGTATCGCTGCAGAATGCTGTGGTAGCCATGCTGGTTAAGTGTGCCTTGAATTCTAAATAAATCACAGACAGTGTCACCAGCAAAGCACCCCCACACCATAACACCTCCTCCTCCGTGCTTTATGGTGGGAACTACACATGCAGAGATTATCCGTTCACCCACACCACGTCTCTCAAAGACACGGCGGTTGGAACCAAAAATCTCTAATTTGGACTCCAGACCAAAGGACAAATATCCACCGGTCTAATGTCCATTGCTCGTGTTTCTTGGCCCAAGCAGGTCTCTTCTTCTTATTGGTGTCCTTTAGTAGTGGTTTCTTTGCAGCAATTCGACCATGAAGTCCTGATTCACACAGTCCCCTATGAACAGTTGATGTTGAGATGTGTCTGTGACTTGAACTCTGTGAAGCATTTATTTGGGCTGCAATTTCTGAGGCTGGTAACTCTAATGAACTTATCCAGTGCAGCAGAGGTAACTCTGGGTCTTCCAACCCTGTGGCGGTCCTCATGAGAGCCAGTTTCATCATAGCGCTTGATGGTTTTTGCGACTGCACTTGAAGAAACTTTCAAAGTTCTTGACATTTTCCGTATTGACTGACCTTCATGTCTTAAAGTAATGATGGACTGTCTTTTCTCTTTGCTTATTTGAGCTGTTCTTGCCATAATATGGACTTGGTCTTTTACCAAATAGGGCTATCTTCTGTATACCCACCCCTACCTTGTCACAACACAACTGATTGGCTCAAACACATTAAGAAGGAAATACATTCCACAAATTAACTTTTAAGAAGGCACACCTGTTAATTGAAATGCATTCCAGGTGACTACCTCATGAAGCTGGTTGAGAGAATGACAAGAGTGTGCAAAGCTGTCATCAAGGCAAATGGTGGCTATTTGAAGAATCTCAAATATAAAATATATTTTGATTTGTTTAACACTTTTTTGGTTACTACATGATTCCGTATGTGTTATTTCATAGTTTTGATGTCTTCACTATTATTCTACAGTGTAAAAAAATTGTACAAATAAAGAAAAACCCTTGAATGAGTAGGTGTGTCTAAACATTTGACTGGTAGTGCATGTATATACTGTTTGTTTTCTTAAGTTACCTTGATCCCCTCCCTCTCATGTACCCCCACTCATGTTTTTCTAAACACACAACCACTAACCATTCGTTGGTCACTGGGACAGGCCAGCTCCCCCCTCCCCCCCCTCTCTGTCTCCATGGCCTGGAGCGGGGTTGCGTGTTGTCGTGTTATTGAACAGTCATGTTATGGAGCTTCTCAGCATGTTCCAGTGTGTACTCAGTAACAAACTGTTTCCCAGGTGTTAACCAGTGGATGTTCCTCTTACTCAGCCAGACCACGTGTAGAACAGAGTGGGAGTGAGTGGTAGGAGTAGGATTCATGTTGTTTTTATTCCGGGGACTATGAGATTCAGTTGGGATGATTTAAAATGTTCCCTGCACTGCAACACAGGAAAAAAAAAAAAAAGTGCTGCATATTGGATATAACTGCACTGTCGGGCATATTTCTGAACTTTCACAGATATCTTCCATTACATAGGTTACTGTTACTGTAGATTATTGCAAACACACTTGCTGCTAGGCGTCACCCTGCGAGAGAGTGCATCTATGCTATATGTTCTCACACACACACAAACACACACACACACACACACACACACACACACACTGCTCAGCTCATATGTGGGTATGTGTATTTCCTGTTTATGAATGCAGAGGGCGTAGACACAGTCCTAATCCCATATGGTGTACTAGTACACTGGCTCTCCCACACACCACTACCATAGTGGTGTCTGCAGTTTGTTGCAGATGCAGTTTGTGTTAGCCTGATCCCAGATCTACACTTTATGTGCTTTAGTCAATTTCTGTATTGTAGAGGAGCTAAAGTACAGACCTGGGACCAGCTAACTGTGTGTTACCAGCTGACAACATGTCCACAGATCAGGCCATACAACCCCCCCCCTACCCCTTCCCTCGCATTGCCCCCCTCTCCTTTCCCCAAACTGCTAAACACCATACACTCTTTTACAACTATAAACTATGAACACCCCCCCCCCCACCACCTCTCCTCTCCTCTCCTCCTCTTCAAATCAAATCAAATGAAATTGTATTTGTCACATGCGCAGAATACAACAGGTGTAGACCTTACCGTGAAATGCTTACTTACAAGCCCTTAACCAACAATGCAGTTCAAGAAGGAGTTAAGAAAATATTTACGAAATAAACTCAAGTTAATTTTTTTAATAAAAAGTAACACAATACAATTAAAATAAAGAGGTTAGATACAGGGGGTGCCGGTACCAAGTCAATGTGTGAGGGTACAGGTTAGTCAAAGTAATTTGTCTCTGTGTCTGGCTGAGGAACCTGTCTCTGTTCCTTGGTAGACTGACCAGACCAGATCAGCTTGGAGGTATTTCTAATGTTATGTGTCTGTAATGTCCTGTAAACCTTATTTAGCCCAGACTGCTGCCTCTATCTGCACTAATAATAATAATGATGTGAGAAGTGATAATTAGCTTTTTGAAAGTGCTATATATTGAAAACTTGATTTCTGACATGAAAAACATATTGGGACTGTAAAAACAGTTGACTGATGAAAGAAATACCCAAATATAGTTTTTTTGTGGATTATTCCTTTAAGTGCCTTGCTCAAGGGCACATTGACAGATGCTTCACTTTGTTGGCTGGGGGATTCAAACTAGCAACCTTTCGGTTACTGGCCCAATGCTAACCGCTAGGCTACCTGCCGCCCCCACTACACTCATTCATTTATTACCATCATGTTTAACATTAGTAAGTAAGTAGCCGAGCCAGAACGGCCCATAGGGCAGGAGTTTATCTCCTGTTTCTGTAGCGTGAGGCAGCTTGATGTACACCCCCTAGACTGGTCTATCGCAGGGCCTTACATTAGCCATGATGTAATGTACTGTAGTGTTGTATTGAGAGAAAGGTGGAGGTGGGACAGATTCTAGAACAGACACGCTGAATCCCCAGTCAGTGTCTGTGGATGAAATCAGACCCATCAGCCTTTGGGGTGTGGTCATTGTCATTGTGTCAGAGAAGTTGATAGGCAAGGAGAGAGGGGTCATAGTTCATTGTGATAGTACAGAGAGTGGGGCGGTATCAAAGGTCAAAGGTCGCTGCATGCCTTTCACCTTTTATGACACGTCACGCCAGTTGCAGCACAATGTGTGTTACTGTAACTTCCGCCACACACACATACACACAAAAACATCCCCCCTACACATACACACACACAAAAACATCCCCGCCCCACACACACACACACACACCTTCTTCTCCTTCTTTCCATTTCTCCATCTACCTGCTACTACTATATCTATCTGTTTCTCAATCTCTCTCTTTCTCCCTCCAGCCCTCTCTCCTTACATCATTATTTATAGTACTATCGCCACTACCTACTGTATGTGTCCAATGCTCTCACTGATTGCTGTTGTAAAGCCTTCAAAGGCTAGAACATGAGCAGCGCAGAAGGGAAATATAGTGTAGCTGTGTACTGTATGTCTCCCTTTGTGCATTGTTAGCAACAATTCTATACTGAGTTGGTGAGAATTCTATGGTGAGAATTCCTCCAGTCTGCAGTGTTGTTTATTGTACTGGGATTCACCATTGTGTTCCTATGTTATTGTCATATATTGTTATATAGCCTTGATGATGGATGTAACACAACGCCCAGTGTGAGTTGTATTGTGTTGATCTCGGTAATGTTTCTCACAATTTAATTCAAGAAGCTTTCATGGCATTATAAGTCCCTATCTTATATTGCCACAGCAAAAACACATGGTACGACAACTCCACCCCGGCTGACCGCAAGGCACTACAGAGGGTGCTACTCTCAGCCGAACGCACCATTGGGTGCACACTGCCTGCCCTCCAGGACACCTACAACACCAAGTGTTGGAAGGCCAAGAAATCATCAGGGACCTCAGCCACCTAAGCCACGACCTGTTCTCCCCGCTTCCATCACTCAGACGCGCGCAGTACAGGAGCATCATGGCATCAACTTGGAACTTGAAATAACACATATTTAATCAATAATAACACTCTCTCTGTCTCTCTCTCTGTCTCTCTCTCTCTCTCTCTCTCTCTCTCTCTCTCTCTCTCTCTCTCTCTCTCTCTCTCTCTCTCTCTCTCTCTCTCTCTCTCTCTCTCTCTCTCTCTCTCTTGCAGTGTTGTTGACGTGGGTGAACTGCTCCAGTGTGCGATGGGCCACCCGTGTCCAGGACATCTTCACAGCTGGCAAGCTGCTGGCCCTGGCTCTCATCATTATCATGGGCATCGTGCAGATCTGCAAGGGTAGGACTAGGTTCCATCTGTGTGTGTGTGCGTGTCTCTACACCATCTGTGCCTGTTGTTCTCTCCATCTTTCTAATCTCTCTCTCGTTCAAGAGACACAGAGACACAAAACCCCACTGACATCCCATTACTGGGTCACTGGGGACACAAAGTCAGGGCCCAAATGGCACCCAATTCCCTATATAGTACACTACTTTTATTCAGAGCCCAATGGACCCTGGTCAAAAGTAGTGCACTACATAGGGAATAGGGTGCCATTTGGGATGTAACATAGCCTCCCTCTGGTAAAACTCACAGAGCTAATAGGGTTTTAATGTAGTTTTCATCACAGCGCGTCTCTGTGGGTTAGTTATCATAACAGTAATGAGGGTGAGTTATGAGAGAGACAGACAGAGACAACCGTGACAATAGGGCTGTAGACACAGAGAGAGGAGAGAAGAGTTAGAACACAATGGGTGAGAGTATGGGAGAATCACCCACCAGAGAGAGATGGAAGGGGGGAGAGGGAGAGAGAGACAACCTCTAAATGCCGGGCTATGAAAAGCCAAGTGACGTTTACTCCTGATGTACTGACCTGTTGCAACCTCTACAACCACTGTGATTATTATTTGACCCTGCTGGTCATCTATGAACGTTTGAACATCTTGGAGAGGTGTTATAATCTCCACCCTGCACAACCAGAAGGGGACTGGCCACTCCTCAGAGCCTGGTTCCTCTCTAGGTTTCTTTCTGCCTTTCTAGGGAGTTTTTCCTAGCCACCGTGCTTCTACATTTGCATTGCTTGCTGTTTGGGGTTTTAGGCAGGGTTTCTGTATAGCACTCTGTGACATCTGCTGATGTAAAAAGGGCTTTATAAATAACATTTGATTGATTGATTGAGTAAGAGAGAGAGAGAGAGAGGGGAGGAAGAGGCAAACAATGACAGAGGAAGAGGGAGAGTAAGAGAGAGAGAGAGGGAGAGAGAGAGGGAGGAAGAGAGAGATACATGTAGTGTTCATATTGGCATGCCAACGAACAGGTGAGCCAGGGGAAAGAAGAGAGACAGACGGGTTGGGCTACGAAGCAGACATGGTGTACAAACCAATAGTACATACTCTGTCTGTGTGTATGTCTGTGTGTCTATCTGTCTGTCTGCCACACACCTCATCATTGTTATGCCCTATGTGTGACCTGGCAGTTTGTTTAATGATCTGCATTGCTGTAATAGCAGTTGACCAATTTCAAACAGATGAAGAATTCCTACAAACTCTATACAATCCTAATTCTAAAGCCTCTGGTCCTCTCTCCTCGTCCAGGGGAGTACTATTGGCTGGAGCCAGCCCATGCATTCGAGCCCTTCCAGGAGTACGATGTGGGGCTGATAGCCCTGGCCTTCCTACAAGGCTCCTTCGCCTATGGGGGATGGAACTTCCTCAACTACGTCACTGAGGAGCTGGTCGACCCCTATGTGTAAGACACTACCATTAGTAGCGTGTCCCAAATGACACCCTGTTCCCTTTGTAGTGCACTACTTTTGACCAGGGCACATAGGGCTCTGTCACTACGTCACTGAAGAGCTTGTCGACCGCTACGTGTAAGACACATCAATTAGTACATGCTTGCCTACCAAATGGCACATTTACATTCGTCATTTAGCACCTTGTTCCCTTTATAGTGCAGTATTTTATAGGGCACATAGGGCTCTGGTCAAAAGTAGTGCACTATATAGAGAATAGGATGCCATTTGGGACGCAGCCTGCTCTGGCATAGATTGTTCTGTTGTTCTCAAACATACGAAGAATGCATTGAAGCAGAATTATCATCAATCGTTCATTATAAAGCACATACCAATAAATAAATGTTGGGGGAAAAACACGTATTTAGATATTTTTCTGAGAGAAATGGACTAATACCTATTATCTACATGTCTTTAATAAATTATCTACCATCCCCCATCCCTCCATCCCTCTCTCTATTCTGAACTGGACTGATACCTGTTATTACCTGATGTCTTTAATGAATTATCTATCTTCCTCCCCATCCTCCATCCTTCCATACCTCTCTCTATTCTAGGAATCTTCCTCGGGCCATCTTCATCTCCATCCCCTTGGTGACGTTCGTCTACGTGTTCGCCAACATCGCCTACGTCACCGCCATGAGTCCTCAGGAGCTGCTGGCCTCCAACGCTGTTGCCGTGGTGAGTAGCTCCACCCACCACCCTGTCAGGATTAGGAAGCAGACAGACGTGCTCTGGGTTTATTCATATTCAGTATTACAAAAGACCTCTGGCGGCCCCTTTTGGTCACTAAGAGTTAATGCGCCTCAAATTAAACTTTGAAAATTGAAGCTTGTAGTAGCATCATAGTAACATTATCAATAATTATCAATCTTCCACTCTTTTTTCAATTTTAGTATATAAACATGTTTGTGATGTCTATGTAGATATGTATCAGTTCATTGAATGTCTGAGTGTGTTTAAACATCTCTTTTCCCCTCCCTCCCTCCCTCCCTCCCTCCCTCCCTCCCTCCCCTCCCTCCCCTCCCCCCTCCCTCCCTCCAGACGTTTGGTGAGAAGCTGCTGGGAGTGATGTCATGGATCATGCCCATCTCTGTGGCTCTGTCCACCTTCGGAGGGGTCAACGGATCCCTCTTCACCTCCTCACGGTCAGTGTCAACATCCCTTTAACAACCAGGAGTTATCTGCTTATCTCTCCTTATGTCTAGTCTAATTCTACTGTATTTATCTTCTGAATCTCTCTCTAGGAACCCCACTCTTACTGTACTTCTGCACCAGACCTTTATATCACCATGTATTCCTCTACAGTGTTTTACAGTATTTTGGGATGCAGATTATATGGGTGTTTATTCTGATTATCTCTCTCTCTCTCTCTTTCCCTCTCTCTCTTTCCCTCTCTCTCTCTCTCTCTAACAGGTTGTTCTTTGCTGGAGCCAGAGAGGGCCACCTCCCCAGTCTCCTGGCCATGATCCACGTGAAGCGCTGCACACCCATCCCTGCTCTGCTCTTCACCGTGAGTACCAGCTCCGTCCTTCTCTGTCTCAGACTGTTTACCATTGATCTATACACTATATACCCACATGCAGTATCCGCAATTTCCCCTGTCCTGACGCAAAAAAACAAATAAAACATTTTTTTGAAAATTAAAAGGGCCAGCCTTTCCCCAAAAAAATGTAAAAAACGGGCACCGTGTACAGGGGAATTAAAAGGGAATTGGCCCCCCAAAAAAACCCCCGAGGAAAGGGGGGGGGAGAAGAAGGGAAGAATAAGAGAGGAGAGGGGGAGGGGAGGAGAGCGGGGAGGGAGAGGGGGGAGGGGGAAGGAAGAGAGAGCGGAGAGGAGAGCGACAGGAGAGAAGAGGGAGAGAGAGGGGAAGGGGAAAAGAGAGAAAGAAAAGAAGAGGGAAAGCAGAGGAGACGCTCAATTCTTTTTATTTCTATTTTATATCTCCGTCTCTCTCTTCTCTTCTTCCTTATTCTCTTCTTTTCCCTTCTCTTCTCCTATCTATCTCTCTCTCTCTCTCTCTCTCTCTCTCTCTCTCTCTCTCTCTCTCTATCCCTCTCTCCCTCCCTCCCCCAGTGTCTGTCCACCCTGCTGATGCTGTGCACCAGTGACATGTACACCCTCATCAACTACGTGGGCTTTATCAACTACCTCTTCTACGGGGTCACTGTTGCCGGGCAGATTGTGCTGCGCATCAAGGAACCTGACATGCACCGACCAATCAGGGTGAGTTTCGTAGGAGACCCATTCCTGGCATTGGGTTCTATTAAGTTCTATAGGGGCTAGACTTTCTCCAAAGTTTTTATTTGACCTTTTTGTTATGTTCTCAATGTTTAGTCAATCTGACCCTAGGTATTTGAGGGCGTATTATATGCATTCTTATTGTGGTTTGCATAATGACTGACTCCACCATCTGTCTCTCTCTCTCCTCCAGATCAGTCTGGCGTGGCCTGTGATCTACCTGTTGTTCTGGGCCTTCCTGCTCATCTTCTCCCTGTACTCAGAGCCCGTGGTGTGTGGCCTCGGTATGGCTATCATGTTGACTGGAGTGCCTGTCTACTTCCTGGGTGTCTACTGGGACAACAAGCCTGAGTGCTTCAACACCTTCGTTGGTACGTCAGCCTCGTTCAAATTCCTTCAACTTTATTTATTTATTTAACCTTTATTTTAGCAGGCAAGTCAGTTAAGAATAACTTTGTATATACAAGGATGGCCTGGAACTGTATTAAAGGTAGACTCAGCGATATGACGTAGATGCAGAAAGTAAACAGCATAGTGGGTCAACAACTAAGCGCGTTGAAGCGCGAGGCTTAACTTCTCCGCCGTTTTTGGTGCCCTGGCTACCACTCTGTGAACAGCGTGAAGCTGTGTGTGACTGTGTGAGAGCGAAGTCTTGCATCTCTCTCATCGCAATATCTGCGGTGCTGCTCGTGGCAACGTCATTTCTACGTCAGTCTACTTTTAAGATGAATGTAACTTTATTTCAAAAGCATTGCTATTATTATTAAAATGACTGGCTTTCTAGTCACTTGACATAATGAATGTTGATTCACAAGATCTCACTACTAACACAGTTTCTTCTTCTGTCTTGTGGATCTTTTCCCTATGACTATTTATACTGTATTAACTTCCTTGGCTTCTCTCTATATCTACTGTGTGTTTACTGTACTGTTGTACTCTAGACAAGGATCCTAACCTCTCCTCTTCTCCAGCCAAGATGACCTACCTGGGGCAGAAGTTCTGTGTGGTGGTGTACCCAGGAGAGACGAAGGGAGCCGAGGAGGCAGGGAGCAGGGAGGAGTGCGAGGAGCTGAAGGAGTCCCGGGCTCAAAAGTCTGCAGACTGCTGAACACAGACCCCCCCCCCCCCCCCCCAACCACCACCCAACTACTCACCATACACACACAGACACACACACACAAACTCAGAGAAACACACTCTCGTTGAGGTAGTCAGAGGTTCAGGTATATCACTATGGCAGAGGGGAGTAAACACTCACACTCACAGACAAGGAAACACTCAGTGACACACACTGTTCTTTTAATGTGTTCAGACATCTGATTGTAGCTTTGTTTCAATCACGAATGCTGTACCAAATAGAGAAAAGGAGGAGAAGGAGGTGGAGGTGGTGAGAAGGAGGAGAAGAGAAACATTTAGAGGAGAGGGAAGATTATAGACCTATATCTGGTCATTACAATTTAGTCAACCTCCTTTCGATGCGGCTTATTGTAGAAGACATATCCAACCTGACATCCTCACAGATACACATATCTTTTCATCCCCTGATTTATTTTATTTTGACAATAACAAGGACTCCTCTTTTTCTTCCCCCTCCTCCTTCTTCACACACTCCCTGCACACTCCATGAGTGAGAGAGTGGCAGTCATTTTAAAGTACTCGCACTGTACTGTGGCAGATTCATCATCAGTATTGCTTCTGTGTTAGTTTGTATTTCTTTTTGCCACCTTTTGAATTTGCCTTGTCTTACTGAAAACATACCAAAGCTGGATTTTTTGATTGTCAAAAACATCAAATTAATATAAATTCATTTCATGTTCTATGTCAAATACACTAAATACTGTCTGTGTTTCCAAAATGGATTTTTCAATTTGTCATAATTGTTTATATCATGTGTCAGTGTTATTATTTTAGTTTTATTATGTTCGTTTTAGTTTTTTTTTTTTACATCATGCAACAGCGTAATCTGGTTCGGTGCCTGTCAGATCCTTGCCTGGTGCAAAATCAGTTCCAACTCTTTAATCACCCTAATTCTGATATATTTTGTACTTAGGATTTAGTCTGTTTTTGTTATCATTGATGTTGACAGATGATTTTATTCTGATATTTTTAAAGAGCTCAGAAAACATTTCATGTTGAAGAAAAAAAGAAAGGAGTGGCCATTTTGAATATTCCACATTGACTCAGTGACTTCATTTTACTGGACACCTGAGAACGATTTCATTAAAGACAGACAATCAACTACAGATGGACTGTCTGCTCAATGAAAGACTAGTAGTACAGACTGACTACGGTGTAAACCTTTACAAATACTAATGAACTGAAAAATCTTGAAATCTCACTATACCTTCAGACAAAATATAGAGGTAGACTAGCAGACCCTGAAGAGCATTTTGAGCAGGGTTTTCGACAATATTGACCACACATGCACACCTCCACGGAGAGAATTGACACAAGTTTAATCGTGTGTAGCTAAGCTTACTCTAATGTTGTCAAGTTTTTCGGTGTTTATGTAAATGTATATCATAAAGTTAATTCAGTATAAATCCACTATAAAAGTTTGATAGTGCTTTATTTAGGGGTATTTGAATAAATATAATTGATCATAATATAAAAACAATCATTGGAGTTATTTACATTTTAGTCATTTAGCAGACATTCTTATCCAGAGCAACTTAGACAAGCAATTAGAGTTAAGTGCCTTGCTCAAGGGCACATTGACAGATTTTTCACCTAGTCGGCTTGGGGATTCGAACCAGCGACCTTTCGGTTACTGGACCAACGCTCTTAACTGCTAGGCTACCTGCCACCCTATAGTGGAGCACAAAGGTACATGAAATACATGTACAGTTACATGTGGCGTTAAAGCCTTCAGGGATTTAAATGTGCATCCCTATATAAATCAGAAATATGCTTATTGTCAGGTAACTGTAATGTATAGATATACTATATGGTGGTGTGGCCCAGTATACACTACCCACTATGTCCTTGCTATTGGACCTTTGGAACACACACACACACATGCAAACACACACACACTCCTCTTCTTCTACAGTTTGTATGATCAGTTTGAGGCATTCTCAGGACATTCCTACTGCCTTCTCCGCTCAGCCAATGAACATTTAAGAGTTTATAAAGGCTCGATTCAATCCGTATTGCGGAAGTTCAGCGCAATTTAAATGTAAAGGCAATGTTCGTGGAGACTGCGTTCACGGTAAACACTGCATATGTCGGCTCAATCGGAAATTACCTTTACATTTGAATTGAGCCGTAGGTAGGTTTCTATAGAGGGGTGGCTTTATGAGAATCCAACTATTTGTCTTAAGACCTCTGTCAAGTGCAGTGAAGATGTCATTCCTCTACACATCTTAATCTTAAATACATTTATACACACAGACACACATAATCCCTCTAAAATCACATTGACGTTATGTCCAATGGTAATTTAGTGATCACACAGATACAAGAAGAATGTCATGGATGCAGTTGTATCATTAGAGAATGTACAATAATAATAATGATTTGGGCCTCAGACACACATACTGTACAGTATATGACAGATCAGTGAAGCTAATGTGTACAGATACAGGTTTCTGATAAGTCAACCAGTTTGTATAGGGACAGTTTGCTCTCTGCAGTGCTAACACAAGTCAAACGTCATGGTATGGGTCGTAGTCTTGTTGTCCATGTGAAGGTTTAAGGATCACACGGTTCAGAGGTTGAAGGTCGAGTTCCAAGGCCGACTACATTGCAGATGTTGCCTTCCATCAACCGATGGTTGTGTGCTACGTCATCAAATGGGGCGTCGGGCATCAGATTGCTATGTGGTTAGCAGATATGTTAAACACCTATCCAGGCGTTGTGAGATCTGGCATGCGTCTGCAATGTAGTCAGCCTGGAACTTAGGCCTATACTGTAGCTCTGAAAGGTCTATGATGTCTTTGAAAGTTGTATGACAAGGATGTGTTCTGTACCTATATATCACTAGATGTCACATTAATGATATATTCTACTGTATGTACTGTATGGAAACTCACCACAGAAAAAAAGTTACATGTTTTCTTTATTTGAAGTGGGTGATGTATCCTCTTTATTGACATAACTGTGCTTTGTTATCTCATTACCATCATCTGTCACCTCAGCAGCAATATGGCTTTACAATTACAACAGAATGATATTATGATGCTTACAGACATGGTTGACCGCTTTATACTGTAGGCATTCATGGTAACCCACTGTTAAAACCCAATGTGTAGCATTTGTGTACTAATGCCGAAGAATAACACAGGTATAGCACTTAAATATGGTATCCCACTTAAATATGGTATCCCCATTTTGCTAGGTCCTTCAGTAGAATAATAATATTTTAAACTATTATGCGATAATAATGACGATGAGAAATCATTGTAATAACATTGTAACAACATTGTAATAACATAGTTTCAGAGATAATGGTCATTTCAGAGTTCTGCTTGGTCACACAACCTGGTCTTAGAGATTTGTGTGCTTTTAGCCAACATTGTTACATTTACGTTTCGAAAGCTTGAGACTATAAAGGTTCTATCTGCATTTTTGTCCAAATTTAGTTATTGACATAGCCTTAAACGATTTAATCAATTTTAGAATAAGGCTGTAACGTAACAAAATGTGGAAAAAGTCAAGGGGTCTGAATGCACTGTATATACAATCATTGGAGATATTTACATTTGAGTCATTTAGCAGACGGTCTTATGCAGAGCGACTTACAGGAGCAATTAAGGTTAAGTGCCTTGCTCAAGGGCACATCGGCTGATTTTTTAACTAGTTGGCCAGGGGATTTAAACCAGCAACCTTTCAGATTACTGGCCCTATCACCCACCCTGACAATTATTGTCATACCGTACAATGAATGGCTAAAGCACATAAGACTACAGATAGAACTAGGCTACTCAATCACTGCCTTATCTAAACTGATAAGACCCGGACCAAACAGAGGACTGCCAGCCTTCAATGTTGGTTCAGGAATACACAGTAGTAGCCTTGGTGTGTGTTGCATTGCAACATAGAAAAAAATTGGTAGATTATATACTGTATATTGCAAAACACACCTCAGTAAATCATTGCCCACATCCTGTCAATGCTAGCCTGGTTTAAACCACACTGAACATTGCGCTCACCAAGTGGAACAACAGTGAGTGTGCGGCGTTCAGTCTGGTAAGGTTTAACCAGCCTATGTCTATGACATAGAGAATGATAGAGGCCTCTAGCGGCCAAAAAGGCTGTGTTAACATGGGCAGCGCCATTGAGGGCTTCCACCATTTTAATGTAGTCTTCCGGGAGGGACTTCCAACTTCATTGGCATATCCTTCCTGGTGACCCTGTTGGAGTAATGTCCAACCGGTTCATCAGGAGGGATTAGCCAATCGTGAAGAAGAAAATTGACTACTTTAAGATGGAGATAGCCTCAATGGCGCTGGCCATGCTGTCACAGACACTATAATGGCACAGATACAAAGATGAGTCCTCCATCTATCTCTATGGTATATTCCTATCTATGTGTTGATGTACAATAGATGGAAGTTCCAAAAGCCATGTAATATATGATGTGAAGTCTCAGTGCTTTTTTGATCCAAGCAATGTGATCCTCCTGGCCCCTTTGGGAGCCCCGAGACTGATCATTAAAAGAAATTAAGCAATTTTCTGTATACTTTTTTCTGCTGCAAATGCTTTTCCTGATGGTTTATTTTGTACAAGTGTTTAACTAAATCTTGTGGAGATTTGAGAGGATTGATTGGTATAAGCAATATGGTGCAACTTCCACCTAGCCTATCACAGGTGGGGCTAGTACCATATTGCTTACACCTGTCAAATCTCCACAAGTGCATAGGGCGTAGGGGTTGATTTGGGATTAGGCCTTTGACTGTATGTGTCAGTCCCACCACCTACCTTATTATACATGTGTGAGGCCAGACGTTTTTCTTGATCACATGAGCAGACAGAGAAACTCCTGGCCCTACTTGAACATACTTCAAAGAGAACTGTTTAACTTTCTACCAACCTCCTTTTCTCTTACGGATTATTTTTGTGAGTTCCAGCATAAATGTACAAAGCTATAGTAACAAGAGATAAATAAATATATATACTGGGGTAAAATAATTGATGACTGGTGTGGTGTTTGAATTTTTCCTACAAAGCGTACATGCCTCTCAGTTCCATAACATTAAACACATAATTAATGACAATGCAACACCATCACAGATAACTGATGTTTTTTTTTTATGACAAACTAAACCATTACATTAATCAATCTCTAAAGAATAATCATTTCTCACACTTTCACGCATTGTAAACTTAACATTGCATCAGATTGATGCTCTCAAAAGAGGAAGGGACAGGAGAGAGTGCTGACATGTCAATACTCCCAACACTAAAGGACAACACCTCGTTACAGTTGCAATATGTCTCAGAGAAGCTCTACAGTGGCCGATTCCAAGGGGATAGAGCTGAAGTTGCCCACAAGCACTGATCTAATGTCAGTTTCGCATTTGTCGCCCATAACGGTTACAGTTTGGATTTGAGGAGGGTTAAGCTGATCCTAGATCTGTGCCTACGGGCAACATCTAAACGGGGCTAAGGCAAGTGTGGTGGTTACAAGGCAAGCAGAAGGCTTGTGGGACAGTGGAGGACCTGCCCTCCTCTCAGTGCCAGGACCAGATGTAGTACAGAACCTCCCTGGATCTTGTAGTCTGCCGCTGTCTTCTCATCGTTCCTGACGGAAAGAAACAGCGGGAAAAAGGGGATATTAGGAAGAGGGCCAATATCATTTTCATGCACCTACTGTTGTTTTTGGCTGTTGTTATCTGACCACTGTCTAAAGTATGTCTGTGGAGGTGTAGTATACCTAGGCAGATGGGTTGCCTCCCACATTAACAATGTTCCCGTGCTGTTGCCCTATGTCTGGGATTTCCGAGACTAGTGCAGGGGAGTCATTTGTACACTGAAAATATATCAGCTATTTTTTCATCTCCACGTGATTAATTCCAAGATATTGCCTCTGTGGCTTACATCTGTTTCCCGCTGTAGATCAACCTCTGCTGTTGAGGAGGAATCCCCTCTTTCTCCTCCACTCGCTCCTTGATCCTCTCCACCTGACAGAGACAAACAGAATACACACAACGAGTACATAATATCAGTGCATGGTACACACACACACACTGATCAGGAACAAAGGGAATAATACTGGGAAAAGTACATACATACCTTGTCTGTGGGCTCTATGTCAATCTCAATTTCCTTCCCTGTGAGTGTCTGCGAGAGAGACATTTAGAAAATACTTAATCATGTTAAGGATGATCTATTATTTGACCCCTCATAGACAGCACCAGCCAGTTACTTATGATCTATGTAGCCATTTAACATGTCAAGTTATTCGATTTATGGAGCCATGTAGCTATCTAGCTTGCTACTGATTGTGTGCACTGAGCAGCTAAATTAAAAGCTAAAACTAGCTAACTTGCTACTGGCTGCATATCTGTGTCTGACGTTCTCTTACCTTGACTTTAATCAACATTCTGACTTCTTTTGTATTCTAAACACATTAATTATATTATAAGTGATTTGGTATCTGTGTAATACCAGCTAAATTTGGTTTCTAGTTCACAATATAAGCAAATTTCAACACCAATCTTTCGTCGCAAAAATGTCCCGTGTTTCTCAAAGATAGGTCCCACTATTCACGTTGCTCACACGAATAGGTTCCGCTATGTGCGTTGGTACTTCGGGGAGATGTTTTCTCCATCAACATTTTTTATTAGATAAAATATGTTTATTTAAATATTTTAGTGTGCGAGAAATCTTTATAGGTAGCCCATTACTAGTGGTAAAAAAAACTACTATTTAGTAGACTCTACGACGAAGGAGTGACGTAAAGTATTTATTTGTAGTCTTTCCTCAACCCCCGCTGTACAGAAAAAGCACAGATACCCGAATAATAGAACTACAAGAATAGCTTTACAGTAAAGACCCGCCCTCTTAAACATTCCTGCCTCGCATTTGTAACGGAAGCGTTCTGCTGAAATAAGAAATATTCCTCATACATTTCATAAAGGTAAGTAGTTTATGCCTCATTTCGTAGAGAAGAAACATGGTTAATTATATACCTAAACTTAACTGTACGTACAGATATAAGGTCTTTAATCTCTTTTGGCGGTTTTAATTAAATATTTGCTAACCTTGAATTTTGACAGGGCCATGGAGGCAGTGACAGAATGATAGCCTCTTGACTAGATTTTTCGAGTAGCTAGTTTATTAGGCCTTATATGACCAGCTTTAGCTAAATGGTCTGTAGTTAATGTATTACTATTACATTATTGCCGATTTGGATATTGAAATTAAAATAAGTATGCAACATTTAAAGGGGGTATTTTTCCTCGCACCACTCTGGCGACAATGAACAGACCCTCATTGAACCCTCATGGAACCTTGAACAGTCCCTGTCTACTGCCATTTTGATGAGTGAACAGACCGTTATGGAACCTTGAAAATGTGCTTACTCTACTGTATTCTGTGTCCTATTTGTAAGGCACTCATTGTTCACTATCTCTAGCGTTTATCACATGTTCTCCCTGTGTGTGTGTGTGTGCGTGTGTGTGTGTGTGTGTGTGTGTTTGGTGGTTTGTTTTTGTGTGTGGGTTGGTGTGAATCAGCCCGTTCTGTGCTGTTCAGCCTGTTCATTTTGTCGACCCCATTGCAGACCGACCAGAAGAAGATACAACGTGTTCCTACTACAGATAACCAGCAGTAGAAATGCCTCGCATTGAGAATGACATCAAGTTGGACTTCAAAGACGTGCTTCTCCGTCCAAAACGAAGCACACTCAAGTCCCGTAGTGAGGTGCATAACTCCTTCCTTTTCTCCTGTAATGTGCTGTTATGTCTACAGTATTGTTCTATTGTATTCAATGACCAGTTTGTACCAGTAGTGTCATTTTCCAAACACAGTATTTTACATTTTCAATGGTATATCACTCTTCAATGGTGGTACCTTTTCTCTACCTTCCACCTAGCTGTCTCTCTGTCTGTCTCTCTGTCAGTCTGTCTCTCTGTCTCTCTCTCTCTCTGTCTTTCTGTCTCTCTCTGTCTGTCTGGCTCTCTCTCTCTCTGTCTCTCTCTCTCTCTCTCTCGCTCTGTCTGTCTGTCTCTCTGTCTCTCTGACTATGTCTGTTTCTCCTTCTCCCCCAGGTGGACCTGATGAGAAGTTACACCTTCAGGAACTCCAAGGGAAGCTACAGAGGAATCCCCATAGTTGCAGCCAACATGGACACCGTCGGCACCTTCGACATGGCCCTGGTATTGTCCAAGGTATAGACATAGACATACATATTGTGTTATAAACAGCAACAAGCAAAAACAACAAAATAGCTTAAATCAGAATTCAACGTCCTCAGACTTTCTAATACTAAACAACTCATTTTACTAAACAACTCAAATATCCCCTACTGGCTCACAGAGAAAGTGGAGCCCAAATCTATGTTTATTAGAAGTCTCTGTTCCCATAGATTTTATACATTTAAAGGTGTTTAACAAACACGTCTCTTTCTCCCCCCAGTTCACTCTCTTCACTGCCATTCACAAGCACTATTCAGTAGATGACTGGAAGGAGTTTGCAACAAAGAATCCAGAATGTGTACAGGTACATTAAAGCAATGCTGTCTGGGATATAATTTACATAGCACCCTATAAGACAAGTATCTTACTTTGCCAAACTTTTCATTCTGTGTTTATTTCTCTCTCTCTCTCTCTCTCTCTCTCTCTCTCTCTCTCTCTCTCTTCTCTCTCTCTCTCTCTCTCTCTCCCCTCTCTCTCTCTCTCTCTCTCTCTCTCTCTCTCTCTCTCTCTCTCTCTCTCTCTCTCTCAGAGTGTGGCAGTCAGCACAGGAACAAGTGAAGGGGACTTTGACAGACTGGGTGAGATCCTAGCCGCTGTGCCTCAGCTGCAGTACATCTGTGTGGATGTAGCCAATGGCTACTCAGAGCACTTTGTCCACTTTGTCAAAGACGTGCGTCAGAAGTACCCGACACACACCATCATGGTCAGTGACTCCTCTACGCTCTCTTTTATAGTGTGCAAACTTGTGATTATGAGCATGTGATTATGCCTGCAGTGTTTATACAGTGATGATATTGATGATACGTCTCAAATCACACTATTCCCGAGGGTTCTTGTCAAAGTAGTACACTCAGGGTGTTATTTGAGCCCATATAGGACTCTAGTCAAAAGAAGTGCACTATAGAGTAGTGCACCAGTTAAGACACCAAAAGGGATTGTGTTGTCTTTGCCACAGGCAGGGAATGTGGTTACCGGGGAGATGGTGGAGGAGCTGATCCTCGCCGGTGCTGACATCATCAAAGTGGGCATCGGACCAGGTGATGTCATAATCGGGCGACTCTGTCACATTGCGGTTTTGCTGTTTCGTCATACCTCATACCTTTTTTTGTAATTGATTGAATTGGGGCCTTAGTGTGATCATACTCATAACTTCCTAACTTTCTATCTGTCTGTCTGTGTAGGCTCTGTGTGCACCACCCGTAAGAAGACCGGGGTGGGCTATCCCCAGCTGAGCGCTGTGATCGAGTGTGCAGACGCTGCCCACGGCCTGGGCGGACACATCATCTCTGTAAGCCTCCATCATTATGATACACTTATAGTTATGTTATACACTCACATCCTTTTGGCTCAACATTCTTTCTACACCGCGTTACACCCTGAACCTCATCATACACACATACAGTACATATGCATACCAAGATGGTTGAATAGACAGAGACTTGACCTGAAGATGCATAGTACCTTATTCTTCCCCTTTCTTTCTCTCTCATAAAGGATGGCGGATGCACTTGCCCAGGTGACGTCTCCAAGGCTTTTGGTGAGTTTTGTAGCAGTAAAATTAAACAATTAAACTAGGAGAGCAAAGAGTACTTACTTTGATCAGCCTACAGAGACTCTACAACCAGGGTTGTAGTACTCAAGTCCCGGACTCGGACTGGAGTACTACAACACATTTTCAGGACTAGTGACTCGACTTGGACTCAACCATTGCTGACTCGGACTTGGACTCGCCTTCTCAACCATTGATGACTCAGACTTGGCTTGTCGTGACTTGTATTTGCACTTGGACTGGATAGGCTACTATGATAAGCATAATATTAGCAGCACTGGGTGCGCAGAGCAGTGAGGGTTCTGTTCTCTAGCAGTGGGAAGGACGTGCCACACACAGCCTACATCAGCTGCTGAGCTGCGGGGGAGCAAGCGATGAGTGTGGGCAGACAGGCAGGCAGGCTCTGCTCCGCCTCCCATCATAGGCTACACATCGCGCAAGCGACTCTCTTACTTCCACATAACCGCCAGTCACTAGCGTACTATTTAGCTTTGCCTGGTTAAGAAACACAAACTGCTTTACGAAATTGAAAACAATACTAGTATTGAGTTGAATAGTAAAACAACAGTCTAGCTGTTTCTCTTTCTCTCCTTGAGTATAGAAAAGTAGGCTGTCTTTGAATTTGTCGTCTCGCGCTAACCTCACACTTTCCCCACTGCATCCCATAGCCAGGTTCTGACGACACTGCTTACAATAATGAGTCGTTAGGATGTCCCCGGGATGTCACAAAATGGTTGCCTAAAGTTGTCAGGACGTTGTGTCATGGTCCCCTGGAGGTTTTGTCTAGTTCCCAGTTGGTCCCGGGGACGTCCCCGAATATGATTTTAGGACGTTAGTGGGATGTTGTGTCATTGTCCCCTGGAGGTTTTGTCTAGTTCCCAGTTGGTCCCGGGGACGTCCTCAAATATGATTTTAGGACGTTAGTGGGACGTTGTGTCATGGTCCCCTGGAGGTTTTGTCTAGTTCCCGGTTTGTCCGACCCCTGCCGGGTTCTTAGGACGTCGTGTGATGGTCCCAAGAGAATGTGTCTGACCCCAGCTGTGGTTGTGTGTGACTCACAGGCGCGGGGGCAGACTTTGTGATGCTGGGCGGAATGCTGGCCGGCCACTCAGAGAGCGGGGGCGAGGTCATCGAGAAGAACGGGAAGAAGTACAAGCTGTTCTACGGCATGAGCTCCGACACGGCCATGAAGAGACACGCCGGGGGCGTGGCCGAGTACAGGTCAGAGATGTTACTGGCCGCCTAGCAGGAAATGAGCAGCTTTAAACACTGTAGCACGCTTTAGGAAAAACACCCTTCCCCAATACACAGGTAAATATTGGACTATAAATGGTGCCTTCCTGTATTATACTTATGCTAAAATGTTTATTCTATTCTACTGAGACATTTACTTTATGTTCATATTCTTATATTTTCTTATTTCTTATTGTTGTTACATTTCAAGAAGGAACCTGCAAGTAAGCATTTGGTTAAGACGGTGAATACCATGTGTATCCCGTACATACGACTAATAAAACTTGAAACCTAAAGCCTAGTTTATATCCCACGTACGTACTCATGGAACTACAAGTAGCTGCGCAAAATTGCGTTGCATAGCAGAAATATGCAGACGTGTGCATCTCCGCAATTCATAACTCGACGCAAGAATGCAGGATGGCCATTTTGCGTATCGTTCTTGCGTCGTGTACGTAGGGTATACATACATTAGGCTTAAGAGTTGACTAAAACATTCCCTCTTCTTCTCCCAGGGCATCTGAGGGGAAGACAGTGGAGGTGGTCTACAAGGGTCCCGTGGATGTAACCATACGCGACGTCCTGGGTGGGGTCCGCTCCACCTGCACCTACGTGGGCGCAGGGAAGCTCAAGGAGCTCAGCCGCAGGACCACCTTCATCAGGGTTACCCAGCAGCTCAACACCGTCTTTGGGAATGATAACTAGACGAGGTCCAGGCTGGTTCCTGGGCCTAACAGGGTCGGGGAGAGGTGGTGGTGTGTTTTGTATGCTGCCTGCCCCTGTCACATGGATGCTATTACACATACTGCACACACGCACACACACACACGCACACACACACACACACGCACATACAGAAAATATTGTAACCATTGATAGTAAGAATCTGTTATTTGGAGAAACGTAAACCTAGGATAAGTGTTTGGTTGCCCAAATCAAAACCTTTTTAGAGTATATTATCAAACAATCCCTTATCTAAGAGTCTTATTTACGTTTTGATATTTTTAATTTTTGACTTTCTTTCTGTAAATGACCAGAAATTGACATTTCTTTGTTAATAAGTGAACCGAGGATTGTTGTGGTACTTCAGGATGTACTTTTGTGTTATCTTGCTCAATCATTCCCATTCAGCTCTGCAGGCCTTGAGTACACGGTTCTTCTCTCTGTCCATTATTATCCACCAAGTCCTAGCATTTCACTGAAGCACTCTCTCTCACTCTCTCTCTCGTTCTCTCTCTACCTCTCAATCCCATCTTTTCCTAACACTTCTATGCACATCACCGCCATGCTATTTGAAAGCCATATGCAATAAATAAATATACTGTATTTCACTGTATGAAGTATTTACTATATCAAGATTACAGGTCAAGTTTATCCCAAATTAAAAGCATCCGTTTTTATTTTTTAGATAGATTCAATAGATGAAAACATTCATTATAATGAGAAATATTGCAGATTTTTATGTTAAGATATTTCTGGTTATTTAACTTAATCCTTTTCAAACTCACATAAATAAATATATATATATATTGCACTTTAATGATTTGCAAACGTTTTAGATTATATAATATTCCAAGTTTTTCTGTTATTCTCATGCGAACCAAATATTAAAGCTAGGATGGAATAGATACAGAGTGAAACTACTGACAAACAGCTGTTTCATGTACTGTACAGCTACAGTAGAAACTCAGTCAGTCAAATTGTTGAGTGGAAACTTAAAGTAGGCTAAAGAGGTGAGGGAGACAGGACAGCTTTGAGTGTTACCTTGACTTACTGTTGATTTCACACTTTTCTCAATGGCTTAGAGACTATATAAAATGTCCATGCAATCAGAATTTCACATTATTGTACTTGACTGTGTATTCAGTTACTTTGCGAGAATGTTGTCTCTGTTTATGCATTATTATGTACTTGTAACTGACTAGTTTTCACTATGACGGTATATTTACTTTACTTCACAGTGTTTTGGAGGTTAATTCCATTTTATATCTATCTGGCTTTAGTCAAACGTGTTATGCAGTTTTAATCCACTTTTTTTTTTCAGTCTTGTCACTTCTGACCAATAAAGAGCATTCCATATGATTTGTGTTTTAGAGTTAATTAAAGATGACAATTAAAGATCCATACATTTATACAATATACAGTACATATATCAATTGTACTCTGTTTGTGTACCAGCTCATGTAATTTCATGAATCACAATGTATTACAATTTTGTAAGCTAGCCATTTTTTATAACTGGACAGAAACATCAGCATTAACATTCAATTAACTGACTATTTACATGATTTATTGTACAATGATGAGGTCAGCTAAATGTGATTAAGGGGCATGAAAAGGTTAATGTCTTTGGAATAGTGGGACAACATTGTGATAGGTAGGTGACTTGAGCAGCAGGGGGAGACAAATCCTGCCTTGCATGTAAACTCACCTCAAACCACTGTCAGTCCAACACACATTAGAATCCTACAGTACAACACACTGGCCAAAAACAACAACATTGGAACATACATGCATATAATGTGGGGATGCCCCAATGTGAAAACAGACAGGACAATTACAGACTCCTTAATTAATTAATTTGAACTAATTAACCATTTTGTTCTAGTTTGGTGTTTTGGCTTGTATCCTTGTTCTTATGTTCTACTGTCTTTCGATTCTTTGTTTATGTATTTTTTGAATGTCTTTATGTATACACACCTGTCTGTGATCTGAGCCCCTCACAAGGAAAAAACAAGAAAAACTTGCGCACAATTATTTGTTAACACTAGCCAGGATCCAAACTTCTACATGGAACCCAAGAGTTCCAACTGCAACCTTAAAGGGTTCTTCAAAGGGTTCTCCTATGGGGACAGACAAAGAACCCTTTAAGGTTCTAAATAGCAACTTTTTTCTAAGAGTGTAGACATTACACCAGCTCACAGAACACCCCCATATACAGCGTACCGATAACCCTCCCACATGTGCACATGGGACCCTGGTGAGACACATGCTGGTGGTAGAAAGAATGCTGCTGCTGAGTCTTGGGTTGTTCATGGACCGCTCCACATGGGCACCCCCACTGCAGCTCTGGCTGACTGTTCACTCCATAGAGACCGTACTCTATAGTGCCCAGGAAGATAGATACACTGAGAATTGAAGTCTGCCTGTGAAGTCAGTTGGTCCTTCTGCCAGTGCAGAGCAAAAACATTGATGAAATGTAGTCAAAAGCATCGACTGTCTCAGCAGATGAAACATTGACACGTAAGCCAACGGTCCAATCACAGTCCTTAGATAGTTTGACCACCCACCTAAGGTTGGCATCAGAGCCGCTATCCTGGCACAGAAGAGTATGTGCTTTGAAAGGCTGGTCATGGCTCACATCAACACCCTTATCCCAGAAACCCTAGACCCAATCCAATATGCATACCGCCCCAACAGATCCACAGATTATGCAATCTCTATTGCACTCCACACTGCCCTTTCCCACCTGGACAAGAGGAACACCTACGTGAGAATGCTATTCATTGACTACAGCTCAGCGTTCAACACCATAGTGCCCTCAAAGCTCATCACTAAGCTAAGGACCCTGGGACTAAACACCTCCCTCTGCAACTGGATCCTGTACTTCCTGACGGGCTGCCCCCAGGTGGTAAGGATAGGTAACAACACATCTGCCACGCTGATCCTCAACACGGGGGACCCTCAGGGGTGTGTGCTCAGTCCCCTCCTGTACTCCCTGTTCACCCATGACTGCATGGCCAGGCACGAATCCAACACCATCATTAAGTTTGCCGACGACACAACAGTGGTAGGCCTGATCACCAACAACGATGAGACAGCCTATAGGGAGGAGGTCAGAGACCTGGCCGTGTGGTGCCAGGACAACAACCTCTCCCTCAACGTGATCAAGACAAAGGAGATGATTGTGGACTACAGGAAAAAAAAGAGGACTGAGCACCACACTCATCGACAGGGCTGTAGTGGAACAGGTTGAGCTTCAAGTTCCTTGGTGTCCACATCACCAACAAACTATCATGGTCCAAACACACCAAGACAGTCATGAAGAGGGCACGACAAAGCTTATTCCCCCTCAGGAGACTGAAAAGATTTGACATGGGTCCTCAGATCCTCAAAAGGTTCTACAGCTGCACCATCGAGAGCATCCTGACTGGTTGCATCACCGCCTGGTTTGGCAACTGCTCGGCCTCCGACTGCAAGGCACTACAGAGGGTAGTGCGTACAGCCCAGTACATGGGCCAAACTTTCTCTCTGCTTGCACTGCACAGCCGATAACCAACACAACAAACACTACAAAGTCCACCTTCCTAACATGCAACATGTCAGGATCCCTGGGTATTCAGTTACTTTGCGAGAACGTTGTCTCTGTCTATGCATTATTACGTTAAGGTGTGTAACAAACTAGTTTTCACTATGGTGGTATATTTACTTTACTTCATAGTGTTTTGGAGGATAATTTTATATATTTTGCTTTTATTAAAATGTGTTTTCCGTTTTAGGAATTGTTGTTGTTACAGTCTTCACAGTTCTGACCAATAAAGAGCATTCCATATGATTTGTGTTTTAGAGTTCATTGTTTATTTTTCATTTTAGCATTAAATCTAAACATGACAATTAAAGATCCACACATTTATACAAAGTACATTACAGATATTAATTGTAATGTTTGTTAAAATGTCAAACTGTTAAGAAAATCAGAATGTACTTCTCAGGAACCCAATTCT